GGGGGGCGGAGCGGGACCATCCGCGCCTGCGCGGGGGAGGGGGGGCGGAGCGGGACCATCCGCGCCTGCGCGGGAGCAAGCACCGCGCTGCCGCCGCGCGCATGCGCTTGGTGCTGCCGGCCCTGGGCTGCAGCTCCGCGCCGAGGAGCTAAAACAGGGATATTTTGCCCAGGGGATTGGTCTTTACGCCCTCAGCAGCCACAGCAGCAGCAGGGGTAGAGAAAGAGCTCGTTTATTGATTTTTCCTAAAACTCAGCAAGGTAAAAAAAGCAGTCGGACGCTAAGCCCAAGGGTGGCTAGAGCATACATAAGACTTCTCTTTGGAGCAGGGTGCTGAAGGTTTTCCAAGCTCTGCCCCCACCTTGGCACTGCGTTTCCAACAGTTCATGCAGGGAGAGAAACAAAATGACTTGCAGCTGAAGGCCCTGCCACATGTGCTCTTTGGGAGGAGCCTCGTTCTGAGCAAAGGGAACAGCAGGGCCTTTGGGTCATAAAAACCCCCAGCTTCTACATAGGAACATATGGCAACAGCCTGGAAATCCCTACAGGAACCACAGTTCCCACTGTCACCAGGAACCATACATAGGCTGCTCTGATGAGACACAACAGGCCACCCCCTGCAAGGCAGCTCCGTGTGAGGCAGCAGGATAAGGATGGGATAAGGCCATGAGGACAGGCCCTGTCCCCAGAAGGCACCATTCCAGGGATACAGCTTTATCTGGAGCAACCTCGATAACACCAGGAAAAGTCATGCTCCCACACATTGTGTTGATAAGACCCAGACTACAGGACTGACCTGCTTCGTGTAGTGTCGCCAGTGACATCTCCCCTACCTGCTGATCTATAGGCAATGTATTTTTACATATACACACACACACATATATATATGTGTATATATATATACCTGGCCTGTTAATGCTCCACATTAACAGAGGGCAAGTTTAAACACTTAGATTTTAGAGGGGTGATGTTACATTTGAATCATCTTGCAAGACTGAAGCAAACCTGCATTGCGCACACTCCCTATATTGATTAGGTTATTTTTTCCTATGTTCTGCATTTAAATTTGCTTAGATCTCAACTGATCAACGAGCTTGGCTAGCAAATGCAGCTGTGGAGGGGCAGCTTGACAGGAAACATTTAACTCCTGCAGAGCTCATTACAATATYCAGTTCAAGTCAGGTTTTAACCAAATTATTAGAAAAAAGTGGGTGTGACAAGCATAAAAGCGTATCATAAGGGTCAAACTGATTGCTGTTATCTAATCAGAGCATTAACTAACCTAAGTCAATACTCATAGCAATAAGCAAAGCTATCTGGAAGGATAAATCCTTATGCTCTTCTGTTTCCCATCACCCAGGCAGTACAAGAGGCATCCTTTAATCCTCCCCACCACAGAGTTTGAGCAGAACTTTCTTATAATCTCCTGAGGTGTCTCCCTGCAGAGAAGAGCAAAAAAAAACGTTTAGTTTTACAGCTAGAAATATAAAAAGGCTGTGTCACTTCCAGCACAAACAATTTGTTTTAGGGTTTGTATCCTTTTTGGCAGTTTATGAATTAAGAACATTCAACATTTTAGGACACAAATGTCTACTTAATATCAGCTTCCCTAACTTGTGTATTTTACACAAGAGGTGCCAAGTGGGAATCACTCTCTAAGCTGCTTAGCAAATCCTGGTGTTTCTAACATGGAAAAAGCTTACCTTAATGAAGGAATAGAGAGATTTCCCATACATGGTCAGGAATTCCCTTCTGATATCCAGCATATCTATTTCAGAGCGGGAAACCATCACTCGGATCAGTGTATTGTCATCTGTTCCCAAGCCCTAAAGAAGCCAACCAGGTGTGTTTGAGGCATTTTGAATAAGTCATTTGCTGTAAACATAGGTTTTGCTGCTGGGTCTCACATGGGATCTGCTCCCCTTTAGAGCAGTCTCACTTTAACAGTGATCCACTAGCATCTTGCTGCTGAATATTGCTCTGAGCCTCCTGAAGGAAAAGCTCAGACTATTTTTTTTCTCCAGTTACAGGGGAGTTCAGAGCAGTAACGTCTGGCATGTTACAGACTCCAGCATGGAAAGGCAAGGAAAGAAAAAAGCAATCTCATACTGAAAGCTGTTTACCTTCATGGATTTATACAATCTTTCAGCAAAATATGCAGGTTTATTCCGTGTGCACTTTACTGTAAAGAGGCAAGAACAAGAGAATTAAGGTGGATGGAAACGACAGGAGGAGGTTTTCTCCTGGTGGTGTCTTCTGCAATGAAGCAGTTGAGGGCTGACCAACAGCAAGTACAGCACAGACAAGCACAGTGACCCGCCGTGAACTTGGGTCCCTTTCTACATGTACAGCGGTGTTTTGTTTAATGCTGCCTGACTGCAACCATCAGTCAAAGCATTTCTTGACAGAGTAAATGTGATGAAGCATAGAGCTTTCTTACCTGACATTTAAGAGAATAAAATAGTATGGTTTGCAGCAGGATATACATCAGATCTGCCTCCTGAAGCTATGTAAACTGCAGGGCAGGCTGCTGTTTACTAACTATTCTATTTCCCTACTTTGGGGACAAAATTTAAAAGCAGGACACTCACCCACAGCTAGTAAAGCGTCTTCAAGATCTCCTGACATCTCAGATTTAATGCTGTCTACTATGTCCTTATTAGCAATCCTTCTGTATTCATCAAAAACTAGGGAGAAAGGTCAGTGATAGAAACAGTGAGAAAAAAGTTTGCAAAAATCAAGCTTTTCATACTCTGGATGAACATTGTACAGCTGTCACTGTGTTGCATGCTAAATTAATGTTGTCCCCCAGAAGGAATATTTTCAACTATCTGTTAGGAAGCTGAAGCAGGTAACTTCTTCCTCTTTCCCCCAGTAGGAGTCACATTATGTCTGATTTAGAGACAGAAGCAACAGTGAGCTGTTCTGATGTTCTTCCTCAGGTTTCCTTTTAACTTGGAATGGAATAAAACCATCTGAAAGAAGTATCTGTGACTTTCTACATATCTGTCTGCATCTGGCAAAGTTCACAATCAGTCACTGATCAAGCACAAAGCACCTACAAAAGTCTTATCCTCAAGTAAAGAAAACAAAGAATACAGAACATTGTAGAATCCTACCTCTTAGTAGGTGACTTCTGTTCCGTGTACAGAGGATGGACATAAACTGCACCTCATCTGTTCCCCATCTCTTCTCTCCAGCTTCATATAGGTTCTTAAAAACATTAATAGGCAAAGCAAGGCTAATTGAGAAGGTTAACTCTACCTGACATTTTTGATTCTGTGATACTTGAGCACTGATGACCTGGGGCTGCTCTAGATCACAGCTATTTCCAAATAACAGACTGTTCTTACAGGATGAAAATTACTACACACCTGAGCATCTTGCCGTGCAAGGGCACCATCCACATATGTTCCCTCATCTCTGTTTCCCTGCAGAGATAAAAGGATGAAACACTCAGCCTACCAAAGCAACTAATGGAAGCAAGTCCTGGAAATTCCCCATTTAAAACAAACTATGGGAGACTTGTGATGAGGCCCACTTTGAAGAGTCTTTAAAATTTATTAGAAGCTTGCAAATATATTAAAAAATGTAAAACTGTCTTGAGCATGATTTGCGCCTCCTCCTGAACTAAATGGCAAACCACTTGAATGGGACCATTTTAAAAAGAACATGGAGATTCAGATTCCTCTCCTTGAAGGAAAGGCAAGCAAGGTGGCATGGAAGGTAGGAGGCAAATTGAAAACCAGCCTCAGAGACCTCATCACTGAGATGAAGGGCATGTCCAAAAGCAAGGGATTTCCTTTAGACTAGGGCTTACCATTGCGAGGGACACAAGAACTCTTCGAAACATGGAAGATGTATCAGAGACAATGTCCTCTTCAAGGGTACAGCCATATTCTAGCAGGAGAACACACACATTTGACATCTGCAACAGCTCCAACACCTGGACAATTGTCTGTCCACATGTACTAGCTGTAGCCAGGTGAACATATGAAAGTGCTCAGCACACTAGACATAATTGCAACCCAGCCATCATAACTACTGCTAGTGGTCCACATTAAGTACAGTCAGTATAAAACTAGTACCAGATCCATACATGGGTGCACATGCAACTGATATTTCCTTACCCCCATCTTTCTGGGTGACATTCTAGTTTGTGCGACTACTGCTGGCAGCCATTTAACTCAGACAGTAGTGGTTGAATCGCAAGGCTTGCCCCAGTTAAGCCACAGACCAACAGCCCCTCTCATTCCTCTACGTGCATGCACACACACAAGTTACTTTCCAGGCAGTAAGAYTGCAACCTCTCGCAGTTTGTGCTACATACGAAGTTTGTAGTTCTCATTAATGCACCGGATCTCTTGATTTGTGCGAGACGCCAGAATTTCTATCAGGCAACCCTCATCTGTTCCTGCACCCTGCAGAATTGCCAAGAAAAGAACCAAGATGCTAATGACAACTGTTTCTGATGTGCCTTCAGCATTTTTTTTTTTAATTAGTGAGGCCACATCATATTAACTTGACCAGAACTTTAGCGATGTAAAAAAGAAGTCGTCCAAACCTTCACAGCCCTCCTCAGTTCATGCACGTCGTACATGGTGGTGGGAGTCATCATCCCAACAATCACCCTTTCAAAATTCCCACTCAGCTCAGACTTCAGGTCAGCAATCAGATCCTAAAAGGCCAGCAGAGAATGAATGAATTGGGAGAAGAAACAGCCCCTGAGAACCAAAAGGACCGATTCATTCACCACATTTTCATGTGCTCCAACTCTCCCTAATAAAAAGCATCTCTGAAGCAAACAAGATCAAGATAAGCTTTGTTGCATGGCCAGAAAAATAACCAAAACCTGTGCTAGCTTCACTGTAGTAGAGGCTAGATTGTTGTTCACTTTTCACTTAAGTACTATAATTTCAACAGCATTTGTATCTGCCAGTTAGAGCCACAGTGACTTATCTCTGAGACCACCTACCCACCCTGCCAATAGTAGTTTTATAGGTGATCAGAACTTGCTGCCGCTGGGAAACATTCAGTTTGGTCAAGGTCTCGATGATGGCATCTTCATCTGTGCCTGTGAGAAACATAAAAGCCAGTCAGGCTGCTTGCAGGAAGACAGAAATGTGCTCTGGCACTGTGTGGACGTGCTATTAGCCATTCTCCGTCTCTTCCACAACCTGCTTCTTGACAGGGGACTAAATCAATGCACAGAAGTACTTCTACCCATCAGGATGGGCACACTGTATTGAAGGAGAGACAAGGTAAGAGCCCAAGATTTGGATTTCAGGTTGGGTTCAGATTTCAGCATAATCTCAAACTGAACTGATTCTTTTCAGTACCCTCACACTGCATCAGCAAAGATGGTGCAGCACTTCAGAATATGTAGTGTCCCAAATTTCTTGGGTAAATATTTTAATATCTATAAACAGCCTGAAGACAATACTGACATAGATTAAACAAATACATATACACAGATAGACTAAGAGCAATTGAGTTGGTGTGGAAATCCTTCTCACTACACATTATAGTAATCAGTCCTGTCCCTTTAGCTCTTTACCTTCCTTCTCCTTACACTCCTTCCATCTCTCTTCTGAAGTGACTCCTACTTTCTGATCAGGCAACCTCGCATTCTACAGCACAGAAGATGGCAGGATCCACACCACCAAGAGGCTGCATTTCAGCAAGTGAGAATCATGATCCCCATTTTCACTTTTTTTGGGAGATAATGTGTGGCTTATAGCCAGACTTGCCTCTCCCCAAACTACCAGAGCAGAAAGTCTCCCCATAGTCTGAAAACTGAGAGGCTAAGAGAGGAGGAGGAACAACTTACCAAACCCCTTCATTGCTTTCCTTAGTGCTTGTGCTTCTTGCTCAGCATTGAAACTTGAAACCCCCTTGATTGTTGCCTGAGTTCACAAAAGAGTTATCAAATGCAGGCACAGAGCAATGCACACATATGGTACAACTGAATAGCAACAACACACAGCAAGAGCAAAACAAAATAAAAGTCTGCTCATCAAACTTGAATGATTTTAGATGAAGCTTCCATTCTACCCTGAAGAGAAACAGTCTGTTCTAAGGAGACTTCTGTTACACAAGACATAGTAGCATGACTAAAAGGAAAAAATACCTCCTTATTGCTACCTATGTAGCATCTGTTTTTTAATTAAAGGCTGACAACCTGACATCTTTGTTCAGTCCAACTGTTGCGTCCTCCCAGCTCCACATTAATCATAGAAGCTGATCACAAAACCCTATTCCTGACTTCACTAATAGCAGGCAAGAATCATTCTGTTAATATATATATATATCTATGTGACATCAAATTCAGTGTTTTGCTCACAACAGTATTTCATAGACAAGTTTCTCCTGTCCTGAGCCACTCCTGCTGGCCTACACCATCTCCTACATCTCAGCCGGCATTCCCAAGAACATCAACAGCAAAATAGTGGCTAATGTTAGTGCTAGTTAAGCTTTCAGTAACACATACAGGGATAACTGCTATACAGATGAGTTTGCAGGTTGAACTTGTACAGAATAATATATCCAGAGAGTTCGTTAGGAAATATCTGTCCCTCATGAACCAATATCTGATTGGATTTTACATTAACTCCCCAGAAAGGAACAATCCAGAAGCATGGGTCTTTCTGCCCAGTTTGAGGAGATGGAGATGAGAGATAAAGTTGCTCCCCCACAGACAATGACCGTCTGTATCGTTATCTGCGCTACACTCCCATTTATCTGATCAGAGCAAATGGCACAACATGGTACAGGAAGCAACCACACTCACCATCCCTGCAGTATTTGGTCAATCTGTTACTGTCCAAGTCCCAAGGCAGTTACACAACTGTAATAAAAAAACAGGGAGTATGAGCTTTCTAGCAAATAATTAATAGAATACACCTACCCTTGCTGCTTAATGGGGCTTGCTAAGTAACTGATACTGTAAAGCAGGATTGTAACTGCCTCATTTCTGAGGCCTAAGAACAATGCTTCACTGACAGCCCTACTGAACACTCACAGTGACTGCAGCTCAGAATTCCCAGTCCTGCTTTGAACTGTACTAACAAAGGCTGACTTATGGGAGAGGTCCAGGTTTTGCTCCACAAAGACTATTTCAAAGAGCGATGCACAAGCAGCTGATTATCACTGGTATTTAAGAAATTTCTGTTTTGAGCAGTACAGCTTATTTGAGGCTGCAAGGAGAAGCAGACATCACCACAAGAGTCTAAGAGGATCAACTCAGTGACTGTCTTCTCCACATCTCATGGCTAACTTTGACTGTGCTGGTAAGAGCCTGGAGGTCAGGCCGGGAGGACACCCACACTGCTCCAGCAGCACTTGCAGCTTTCCCTGGGAGGCAGAGACAAAACCAGGGCACAGACAAGCATGTGGAGGCCATTCTCACTCCAGGATAGTAGGCTTTGAACTTCCTTAAGATGTGCAGAATTCAGCACCTCCTTGGTTTGATGCAACATGTAATTGCTTGTAGGGCTGCAGATTGACTGTTAACCTCTTAAAAATACAGCTTACCTTCTCCCATATATATTTCCTGCTTTTACATTTGTTTTCATGCAAAGGGTCTACCCCTACAAACACCTCTCCACTCAGGATCTCCATCCCCTGGCCAAGTCTTTTAAATATTGTCAGTCCATAGCAGAAAAGATAAGAAAAACAAGTTTCAGATAAAGTTTATTTCACTGCAACTGAAGTTAAACACAGGCATGTTTATAGAGCACTTGATGACTGACAGATGATCCCCCTAGACCTGCTCATGACGTTCAGCAGCTGCTACGAGCCCAGCCAGTTGTGCAACAAGAGCAGGAGTTTTACTCATACTTCACATGACTCCTGTGAACCCCATATACCTCAGTGTGCTGTTGGGGCAAAATGCTCTCAGCATCGTATTGGCTGTAGATCCTTCTGTACAGGCCCACCCAAGTACTCCCAGGTAATGTGTGCAATACATGCAGTTCAGTATCACATGGTAAAGTTGGTGTTAATTTTTTTTAGAGGATATAAAATTTAGTGGGCCAAGTCTGACCTAGACCCTAAAAGAAAAGATCTAGCCTAGCTTTTTACACTATTAATAAGCTTTATCATTTGCTTTAGCTAGACAATGGGTAATGGCTTAGAACTTCAGAGTTTCTGATGTGGGTTTTACTGTTCAGTTTGTTTGTACACAGAAGCAGGATATTAAAGGAGCTGCCTTGCAAACAGAGGGCAAAACAAAACAAGAGGGAGGCAGGCAGGAAACATTTTGAATGCAAATGAGGCAACAAAAAAAAAATATGAGGCAAGAATATGGGGCTAAGGGCAAATGCCACTGAACATGAAATTAGAGCTATTAAATAGTCTAGTCATACTCTGACATTTGTAAGACTCCAATTTCTTCATCCAGCTTGAAAGTCAATGCTAACATGCAAGCAGCAATGCTTAGCCCACCCCACAATCCGCAAATTGTGGGCAACTCTGCTTTTTTGCTCCCAGTATATTGCCATGCATGTGGCCCTGCTGAGGAAGCCGGCAACGGTCATAACARTGGAATTAAAAGAGCACTTGGCAGTTTGACTACATTCTCTAGCAATAGTCCCTGCGGTTTAACACTGTTCCCCCATTCATGGGCAAGGGGTCTTGTCTCCATGGACAGCTCAGGCTGGGGCATTACACCATTAAAGACCCTAGCCACCCTGTTTGATGATAGAGACAAACCTTGCCTAGGGTGAGAGCTCAGATTTGACAGAGTTCTGCTTTTTAACAGAACTCCCTGTTCTGCTCCATCAGAAAGAAAACAGCTTCAGGATAATAACACTGTTTGAGGAATCAAAACATGCATGCAGAAAGCCAGCTAGCTAGACTGTGCTGCAGTGCCCTGGCTAAGCCTGCTTTGATAATATTTGATTCAAACTGTTGCAAAGGCCTGAGCTCACTAATGCAATAAGCTCCATACCCCGCCTGACATCAGGCTCTAAACTGTGGCAAGATAACAGAGTGCAGGTATACTGGGCATCTCCTCCCGCTAGCCTTTAWTTGCATTATTTATCTCCTCCTATTCAGCTTTCTCTGATACACTGGGTAGTTATGTACTCAATGGTGTCCTCAAACTGAGCTGATCCTGAATCCTGAAGCAGCATGAACTGTCCTGTGTCCTGGTCATTTCAATCTAGGCTTGCTTTGAATAGCTTTCGCTGACCATACTCAGAGCACCCGTAGCTCCCAGCAGCAGCATTTAAACAAGAGCTTTGCCTCAAGTTGCCTGAACATATGGACACTGTGATGGTCCCAGAAACTGAAGTTAAAAAACACTAATTTGGGAATCCATCTCCCAGAACAGCAGGCACCATACTTGTTCGACTAGTTCCTTCCTCAGCGCATGTTTGCTAGAACACAAACCCACGCCCTGCTCTAAGTCAGCTTTTCCACAGCTCCCGCACTGCCAGCTGGATGCGAGCGGCTCCTCCTTGGTGAGCTGCATGTCGGGGAGGCAGCRTGGTCTGCTGACAGTCTCCAGCTCACAGCAGGCTGGGCGACACCAATCCCAGCCCAGAGTTTGCAGCTTTCCATTTTGCATGGGAGCTATAGGGCAGCTGAAGTGCGCCTCCCACACCATGAACTTTGCCTTGCTGCTGCCACAAAAGGAATAAAACCTAATCCCAAATTAGTGCTGGAGCCTCGTACTGCTCGTTTCTCCCCGTACATGCACCCAGAGCCACTTCAAAATACATTGCCATGCCCTCCCACTGCCAGCAGGCAGGGGGGACACCAGCCTTCCCACAGGCGCAAGCAGAAAGGGAACACAAACATTGCATCTTCTGTGCCTGGAAAGAGTCAGCCATGTTCTTCCTCCTTCCCCCTGCCCGTTCCGTGTCCTCCCTCAGCCCAGACCCACCCTGCGTCCCATGTCAGAGAGACAGAGGCTGCCGCACGCCTGCACAGCCGCACTAGGAGCTGCCGCCTGTGTGGCCATGAGCCCAGCTAGGACTTGGCACTGCACCCAGCACCTCTAGTGAGACAACCCTTCCCCATGCCGAGGGGGACCCTGCAGTTAACTGAGACTCACCTGCTGTCCCAGGCAGGGGCCACGGCAGTGATGGGGAGAGCTCCACTCTGCTCTTTGCCAGAGAGTCCCCGCCTTGCAGTGGGCTGGGACTGCCTGGGAGTAAAGCAGCTTTCGCACAGCTTGCAGGAAGTCAATGCATTGCCAATCCCCTCTGTCCTTCCGCAAACATTTGTTGAGTTACAGTCCAGAGCACTGAGGGATTCCCCAGGCAGCCACCCCAGCAGACACATTTCAGGAACAGGCACATGGGGCTCCACCAAGGCCCTTCAGAGTAAAGGTTGTCTGGAAGGCTGGGACAGCCTCTGCTCTCCATTTTTTTTTTTTTCTGCCTGCAAAATCCACAGGCACAGACAGTCTCTGGGGCTCCTGACTGCACAGCACTGGGTGTGAACAGAGTGTCATGTCTCGCTGTATACAGCCATGCAGAAAGCCCATACCCACAGGGAGGCACTGGGACAGCTGCACGCAGCACAAGGACCAACTCAACAGCCCAGAGCAGAGTCCACTGCCCTCCCACATGCTACAGGAGCATCTTACCTGGATCACAGCTCTCACTTGCACCTGCAGCAGCACTTCAGGGCTTCAGGACAGACTCCTCTTCTAGGGACTTAATCGCCGCTGGAAGTGCAATGATTAAGAATGGTTATTTGTGCCCTTAATAAAGGCACTATCCCAAAGTGAGATCACTCCAGGCACAGGGCTTCAGTTTTGGCCTCTGGTGAGGCTGCTAAGGTCAGTAGACAGAATCACAAGACTGACAGAGGCAACTTAACCTTGCAATAAAATAGTGCATCTTGTCTTCACTTTGTTTATCCTCRGGGCTTTGGTTTCCCTGATGTCAGTTGTTACAGCAGGTAAACCACTCCTCTCAGGTTCTTGTTCCCAGCTCACATAACAACTGCACACCAGCCTCTCACACACACGCACTTTTGCTGGAAGAGACCTAAAATTAGCACCTTGGATGAATACAGCCTGTGCTCTAGTGAGTGCGTCCATACAGCTGGCTTATTATAGCTCCCAGAAACCAAGAACAGCTCTGCAGAGACTTGACAACACCCAGGCTCTGTTCATGGGGGAGACTGCTGGGCAGGGAATGACTGGAAAGCTACCTGTTTTTACACAGCATGAACACAAGCAAACCTGAGCCCTGTGCCACTGATTTTAACAAATAAATCTTATTTAAAATCGGTCACACCGATTCTAGGCTAGAGCTAAAGACCTGCCAGAATTAGCTGTTGTAAAACAGGCTAACAGTCCAGCCCAGTACAGAAGCATGTTCTTGCTGTCAGTGGCTAATTTGTGTCACTGAACTGTCAAAAGAGGAACAGTCAAGGACAACCAGAATTTAGGAAGCAATGTTCACTGGCAGGTGGGAAAACTCAAATACTGTGATTCACCCAAGAAATGAAATGAGTACATTCTAATTCTTCACCTGTTACTGTAGCCACTAGAAACTTTGCTTTTAGGAAGTCAGCACTACCAAGGGAACATGCAACACTCCCCTCCTGCAAGTGGAGATAGGGGTTTGCAGAACCCTGAGCAGAACATACCAGTATTGCTACGTAAAGTGTTCTCTGGAGAGACCTAGTCTGATTACATAAATATTGTCACGTGAGGCCAAGGGAGAACAGGGAGGGAGGGGAATAACTTTGATGAAAGATCTCTAACCTTAAACACCTTTAAGACAGATACAATCCAAGCAATATTAAACTGCTCATCTTGATATAATCTAATTACAATAAGAACAATAGATGCCCTAGACCACTATAATTGCACCCACATTGCAGTTTTCAGTTTTCATCATGAAAAAAGTCTCCCATATCAAGACTAATTGAGAGCATTGAAGCCCCAGGGCTTTTGCCAGCTTCATGCAGAGACATTCAGTCAGGGTAATCCCTAATGCCAGCTTTAAAGCCATATATTATTTTTTGGACAACCTAATCACTCCTTCCCCAAAGCCACAGGCTATGAACTGCTGTGCCATTGCTTCCAGCACCCTTAAACACATTATCAAGACTAAATCTCACTTAATGGGTTTAATGAATGTTTACTTTAATTAGTATACACACAACTCAAAGAGGAAATGAGTAGCTTTCATTTTTTCCCCTCCTTAATTAATATTTGTTTCTCTGCAACTTTACCATACTTAGTTCTGTAAATTAGATATATCCCAGCTCCAGGAGGGGAATCAGAACTACGACTGCCCAGTTAAAGAGAACTTCAAATACACACATTTATTCTTTGCACAGGAAGAAATCAGAAGCTCACCAGATAAGGGAGTAGAGGAAATAGGGTAACACACTAAAGAGCTCTACATAGGGTATCTTGTACCAGGAAACAAGAGCAGAGTCACTTCACAAAGAAAAACAAGCTAAGAGATCTCAACACTAAAAGATCTCCAAATATCTAGGAGGACCTCAGCCTTGTAGCTCCCAGAGCTTAAAGCAATAAGCTCCCTTAACTATTATCACCTACCTAAGAAAGCAAAGTAACAGAATAGGTCCATAACCCACAGAGAAAATTCAGGCAGCAACAGTTAAGAGCAACAAAATAAAAAAGACTTACAATACAGGGCCAGAGCTGATCCTGGGGAAGCAAGAGAGATGATCAAAACCTAAGCCCTACAGCACATCTCAAATTAAAAGTGAGCTGCCTAGGCCTGTGCTTAAATAGAATTGGGGGCACAAGTGGAAGGTGCAGGGTGGGGGCCCAGGTGAGACAATTCAGGATAATTAAGGCCTGTGGGTGCACTCAGGACCCCAACACTTCAAACACAACTTATAAAGCCCTTCTTTGTGAGAGCCTCTCTGCAAATCTGGCTGAATATAGTGATACTGGCTCTAATCTATAGGATATGTTTGTAGTGCAAAGTCATCCTTCTGGAGAAACATTGCTCTTTTTTGATTTGGTGATCAATTCTATTGATGTTAGCAATATCAGTCTAAGTTATGCATGGTATTGAACCAAAGAAGCATAAGCCTATAGACTTCAATCTGTTCAGTTATTTCCATGTATGTATATTTATAGACCGGCCATTAGTGACATTAATAGTAGTGGAAGATGTTAACTCTTAGCTGCAGGGGATGTAGCTGTCACTGGAATTATTGAATATGGCTYGTAAGAGCAAACAGGAGCATTTGAGAATTTTTAAATAGGTAAAATACAGACATGAGCATTGGCGTCTTCTGCGCTGCTTTGCTTATCTGCAAAAATCCAACCACAGGCAAATTACTAGCCAGATGATAGTATGTATGAGAGCTTGCCTTTCCTCATGGATGACAAAGAAAGAGGATAGTTTTTGCTGGTCACACCAGTAGTTCTTTGTGGGTTGTTACTATGCACTTAAAAGAAATCCTTGGGTTCCGGAACACAGAGCTATATAGATACATAGAGAGAGAGAAACAGAACGCTGGTGCTAATGTTTTTTTTTTTAAACTGGTGGGAAACTCAATAGAGAATTTTGTAGAAGTGTATGGATGCAAATGCATATAACACAATAAATAATTAAGGGAACATCTTTATAAAGATAGAAGTAATAGGATGAGAACACTTAGTTATTAAGCACTGAGGATAGGAAAAAAAAAATGTCTGCTACCTTGTAAAGGGACTTGTGACTGCTTTTCTGCCTGCCTCTTTTCATGCAAAACTGAGGTTGCCAAATGTGTGCTTTTTTGAGCTCGTCTATAGCCGGTGACATTCTCACTTGGAGGTACTGCAGAAATACACAGTGCTGTAGAACTCTGTAACCTAAGTGTTAGAGAGGGAAAAGGGGAAACTATGAAAGTTACGTAGTGTAACTTGTTATACGTTACTCCCTCTGTCTTATGCAACGCCTGCAAGAGAGAATAACAAAGCAAGATTTTAGTGAGGTTTATAGCTCTAGGGAGGATGGACGCCACTTGCCTCCAGGACAAACTTGCCTCCTAATAGATGTAACCAAAGAGGCAAAGTTAGGCGGGGTCTTTTCTACCTCGTTGCCACTTGCAGAAGTACCCAGAAGAGGTCAGTGTTCCCTAGCTTTTGGGTTATTCAAGTGAAACATTTCCAAACTTATGTTTTTGTTTAGAAAATGCTGATCTGTCTGGAAAGTTTGATCAAGAAGGATGCAGCCATATTAATGTTTCCCTGCTCCTTCTCCTGGGATCTGAATGCATTCTGTTAGTAATACAGGGGAACCAGGATGCACACAGATAATATGTAGGCAAATAGCTCTGCTGACTACGTCATCAGGCCTCAAATATTTTAAAACCAGTCTCACAGGATTTTAGAACTAAATTGTGGTGTTTAGTGTTGACCGTATCAGTTGGACTGAGTTTCTTTGTGTRGTGGTACAACTCCAAAGAGCACATTGGAGATGCACCAGGCTTAGATGGGAGAAAGACTTGACCACGTCTCTTCTTGCAATCACTGATTAGTTTTTTATTTTAGATTTTCCAAAGCTTTCAAGCTCAATTCTCTTTGACCCCTATGAAGGTCACTGGGATTGTAGAACAGCAGCCTCACCTCACATTTTCTGAAACAAATAATGGCAACAACATCTGCTTCTCCTGCCCAAAACCAGGAGAGTTTAAGAGCGCCTGTGGCAAGAATATCAGGGCCCCACAGCTGTACATGGGTCTGGTACCTTGGCACTTTCAGGTGCATTAAAGACAATAAAATAGTTCTCAGTGCCTAGTTAGGATGTTAAGCAGTGCATCTGCAAGCTCTGTATGGCAGTAACTTTTATCTTTCTTAGCTGGAAATGAGTCATTTCCCTGTACTGTACAGAGATGCCTGACTTTCTTGGAAATTGTTCAGTTCTGTAGAGTCCCCAGAAATCACTGACTGTAGGACTTTCTTTGGCATTGATTATTTTACCTCAGTCTTAATAAATGATTGGGGATGTTTCATAGGTTAGACCAATTAAAAAATATACAAAAGAAACAAACTGGATAGATCCCAGACTTTCCCCAGGATGAAGGATACTTCATGTGAAGGGCAAGTGAACCTTCTGTATTCCCCACTGAAGACTCCAATAGCCACAAACCAACACTGAACAAGGGTTCATGGTGTTTAAATGCCTGTTAAATAAAGAGAGGACTTCTTCCACGCTTGTGTTAGCTGATTTCTTGCAATGATTGCAGCTCCAACCATGTGGACTGAAAGCATCTTGTAAATGAGACATGAAAATCATGTAGATGGGAACAACTATGAGGCACTCTACAAATTATGTGTGAATGATGGTGGTCAATGAGGCCTTTGAGGGCTCCAGAGCCTGCTAGTAGGACTTTACTTACAGGAACCATTGAGAATAAGGATGACGGAAGAGGTGTAGAGTTGACTGCATTGGAGAGGCATAGTGCCTCAAGTAGAACAATGACTGTATGGCAATGCTTGCATTAGCAAGGCAGTTTTAGATCTATGTATAAAGCATATGCTAGATATTATCATCAACAATTTTACTTGCTTATACTGGAAGCCACTTTCACAATAATATGTAACTTAAAAGTCTCTAAATATTGGCAAAAGCAATTAGATCATTTTACAACATGCTGATGCTGTCCTCTTGGCACTGTTGGAAGTCTGTGCCCCAAAGCCAACCCATTCAAGCAACGTAGCGATGCAGGAAAAAGAACATTACAAAGCTTGTAATTTCTTTTGCTTGCATGTTGCTTCCCAACATATTCTCCAGGGTGTTCTAGCTACTCAGTTGTTTTCATTACAGTACTCTTTCTTAAAACAAAATTCAGGGTAATCATTTTTGCCAGCCCACGATAGCCAGGGCCTGCCTTGGGACTGGGGCTTGTCAGCACGATAGCTGTAGTTATTACCATAATACAGGAAATAATAGTCATTAGGAAAATGTGAATGCTTTCTGGTTTCCTTTTTTTTGCCCCACCTTCTGCCCAAGTCAGAGATGAGGAATGACAGCACGAGCACACGACTTTCAGAGGGGCATTCCTCCCTTCCACAGGGTCCACAGGTTTTGTGTTCCAGGTAACAAGCTAGGAAAATCAATGCTTTGCTTGATTAATATTCCCCTTTGCCATTCAAAATCTCAGCTCCGGCCTTCCCAGTTAATCTGTGTGGAAAACATGGGACGGCTGCTGCAGACACCCCCAGCTTTTAGGAAAACCTAAAGCTCTTCTGCGTCCCGAGAGATGGAAAAAGGCTGAAAAGAACCCAAAATGCATTTAAAGAAAAAAATCACAAGGTTCAAACTCAACTCACCATTCTTTTAAGTGTGACCCATAGGTTTAGGATTCTTTGGATTAGCCACATCACTCCTTATGAACATCTTGCTGCAAGCTTGCAAATTAGATGGGTCTTGGAGCAGGGAAAAAGGAGGAAAGAGGCAGAATTTATCAGTAAATCCAAGTTCCGGTCCCAGAGTCCAACTGCTAAAGCCAGTGAATGTTTTGGGTACATGGAAAGCCTTATTCTGTCCATGATGTCYTGAAAAGGTACCAAGCACACACAAATCAGCATCTAAGGAGCCTCTATATAAAGTCTCCAAAATTACTCTGAAACAGAGAACTGTATAACATCCAATTCTGGCAAATCCTCTTAGATGTAGTGTTGAGTCAGGCTTCACAWAATCAAATGCTAGATTTAAAACACCAAGTTTGAAGGCTTTGAGGGGGATGAGTTCCTGTCTGCTCCCCAAGCTGGTACATTTTAGGGATGGGGAGTTATTTCCATTTGTTTTGAATTTTAAGATTCTCCATCAGCTACAAGCAGGCCTGCACGAAGACACGCCATAAGCCTCCCGACAAGATGTCACGGCGGAGCTTTTATTACTGTGGCAGGGAAAGGCCGAGGCGTTACGCGCACCCTCGAGGAAACCGATGCGCTTCAAGGCCGCTGCTCACGACCCTCCCTGACAGTATTCCTGAGCTGCGGAACATGGACACCGACGACCCTCCGGTGCTCCCAGCCCTGCGGGGCAGCCCGCGGAGAGCGTCCCGGCCGGCGAGGAGCGCAGGCGAGGGGGCAACGCGAGGCGACCCCCATTTCTCCCCACGGTCACCGCCGGTCATCTCACGGCCCCACATAACTCCGCTAAGCGCGCGGCGCCGCGCTGCCTGACGGGAATTGTAGTCCCTAGCGCGCCGGTGGGGGGAGCGCCGCGGCCCCCTGGCGGAACTACAGCTCCCAGGGTGCCGCGCRGTGGAGCTGACGGCCGCTATTAAGCCCCCCCACTGCCCTCAGCAGGGCCCCCTTGCCCCTCCGCGGCGCTGTGGCGGCGGCGCCGGCGCTGCGGGAGGCGGCAGCGGCGGGAACGGGGCGCCCGTGGGGTTCGGCCGGGCCGAGGCCGGTGGCCGAGGCGGGGGCGGCGCTGCCACAGGGACTTCCTGTGACAGCCCATTTCCTGGTCGGATGGGGCCGGCGGAGGGTGGCGGCGGCGGCGGCGGGGTCGGTCCCTGACGGGCTCGGTGGCCGCCGGCAGCTCCGCCGGGCAGCGATGCGGGCTGCGGGCAGGCGGCCCCGGCCGTGAGCCGCTGCGGCGGGCCGGCCCGCGCTGCATGGAGGCGCCCCCCGCCCGCGCTCAGCTACCGGGCGGCCTGGCCGGGGCGGCGGCGGCGCCGCGGCGCTAACGGCTCCCGCCGCTGCTGCGGGTGGCCCCCCCCTCCTCACACACACACCGGAGACAGCGGCGCCTTCCCGCCGCACGACCCCGGCGGCGTCGCCGCCTGCCCGCCCGTGCGGAGCCATGAAGAAGTTCTTCGACTCGCGGCGGGAGCAGGGCGGCTCGGGCCCCGGCTCGGGCGCCAGCGGCGGCGGCGGCGGCAGCGGCGGCCCCGGCAGCGGCTACATCGGGCGCGTGTTCAACATCGGCCGCTGCCAGGTGACGGTGGACGAGGTGCTGGCCGAAGGTGAGATGCCTGCCCGGGCCGCCGCCGCGTCCTGCTGCCGCTTCGCGGCCTCTCTGCCCCCCCTCTCTTCCCTCGCCCGTGAGGGGCTCGTGTTCCTGCGGCGCCGACCCCCCCGGGCCCTGCTGGGCCCCCACGGGTCGGGGCTGCGGCCTTTGCCTCCCCCCCGTCTCAAAAACCTGTGCGGATTGCGGAATTGCAGCTGCTTTGGAAGTTGATGGGGGTTATTTTATTTAATTTTCCTCTGTCCTACAGCTTACATGTGTGTCTGTATGTATGTGTATTTATGGAAGATAGTATTGTTATGTATTTTTTATGCAGACCTTGCAGGGCAGAAAGTTAGTGGTATCAGTATTTTAAAATTGTAACCAATAATGCTGCTTTAACTATTATTTTACATTATTTGTGTGGGCCATGGAGTATACTATGGGTATCTATGGCTGGTAACCATTAACCTTCTTAACCTTCAGAGGGATGTCAGGCTATTTAGACCTTGTCCCAGGTCAAATCTGCACAGCATCCTTTGTAATTTTGGTGAAAGTGTTTTGTTTTGATCTTGTAATTGCAAAGGAGAAGGTAGCTAGTGTACAAGAGCTGAGTGGGAGGACCTGCATTGCTTTTTACAGACAGAACCCTAAAATGTGGCACCTAAAGGGGCCTGTGTATGTGTGTATGGGTTTGCAAAAATCATCTTGGTATGGAAGAATCAAGATTTGTAGCCTTTTTTCTCCCCYCTCAAGGATTATTTTCTAATGTATAGGTTCTGTTGCATGCCAGCTTGAGAGAAACAGTCCTTTGGCTCATAAATGTATCAAGAATTGTTTTTCTCTTCTCCCCTGCGTTGGAATTTGCTATACCAGTTTGTCTTGGCCGATGCTTCTAAGGCCACTTAACCTCAGTTGTTTAGAGAGGAGACAAGTTAAACCTGAGTAGCCGTCACAGTSTTTCTTAATGTGCTCTGGCCTCATCCTAGTGACATGGGAAAGCAGAGCTTTTTTTGCTGATGAATCCTCTGTTGGCAGGTCCTACCCTGATGCTGCAGCAGCAGGATGTGCCTGGGAGCGACCGGGTGCTCTCCGGCTGGGCTCCAGCGCTGCTGCCTGGCTGCAGGGTTATCTGCTTGTGAGAGCTTTTCCCTGGGACTCCTGGGGTAGGCCTAGTGCTAGTTGCAGATGTTAATTTGCTTGCACAGACCTGCAAAGTAGGCATGATGTTTGCCTTATGGCATGGCCAGAAAAGGCGAAGGAAATTCTTTGGGTAAAATGTTCTGGGTGGGTATTTTCCTCAGGGTTAGACCTCCAATACAGGCTGTCAGAAATCCCTCTGAATGGCAGCTGGGTCTCCAAGGAGACCTGGACAAGGTGGCTTGTAGATTTGCAGGTGGTTGTCTTCTGGTGGGAATAGGGGTGAAGAAAGCTTCATTTATCAACCCTAGAAAGGCCTTGCAGGTCTTCTGGGGAGAYGGCCCTGGTTGTGAGTGCAGTGGCTTTGCGTGCCTCTGCCTTTGGGCATAGCTGTCAGGGATGCAGAAGTACTGGTAAGGAGCGTTTTTCACTGACTCAGCTTGAGATCTGGGGAGCTGTCTGGCGACCTAGACCCTGCACTACTGAGGTCTGAATCCTGTCTAAAAACTTTTTTTTTTGGTATCTGCTGATCTGCTGTTAATTTTCCTGGCTCAGCAGTACTAGAGAGCCGACTTGTGAAGTCTCGGCTGTTTCTGCTAAAAGGGAAATTCCCTCGGGAAGCACTTTGTCAGAGGAGATGGAATATCCTGTCTAGGAGAGAAGCCTCCCTCTCCCACCTTYCTTTAGGAGGGAAGGGATGGGACTGTGTTGGTGCAGCATGTGAAGCAYGGAAAATAAACGAGATGTAAAAAATGGCTTAAAATGAAGACCTGGAAATGATGATGGATGGTGTGGGGGAGACTAACTGCAAGCTTGAGGAACTGGCTCAACCAGAACTTTTAGAGCTGAAGTGTTGGGGTTTCGCCCTGTCAAACCTGTGACCAATCACTCAATTCTGCTGAGCAACCCTGCTGAAGACGCCAGCTCTGGTGCAGACACCAAGTTCTTAAATGCAGGCACAGTGAAGTGTGCCAGGTGGCTGCACGTGTTGTCGATTCCTTGGGCAGATCTACCAAAATATCCAGTGCAGTTTGGTACTTCCCCCTCTTATCCYTCCCTCCTTCCCCAGTTGTGTCTGGATACTTGCTTTTCCAGGTGGGGAGGAATGAGTCAAAATGCTTCTGTCTGCAAGGAAGTAGATGGGATTAATATAGAAAGAATTTRAGTGGTTGTTTGTGGTGTTGTGATACAGGTAAATGAGTGTTTTCTACAGGTAGTATAATGCAATAGGTGATTCTCTACGTCTCTGTAGTCATCTTCTAGTACAAGCAATAGTGTGATTAGTCTATTGAAAAATTCTGGACAAAGTTTGTCTGAGGATTAGCTGCTGTGGAAAGCCAGTTCTGTTGTCCTTGCAGTTCTGCAAGACCAGGGTAAAACCGGTGACATCTGAGGTTATCCCGAGGTGAGGAAATAAGGACTGTTAGGGACTTTACCTGGACTGATGTCTCACCAGAGCAGTGAGGTGAATGCCCYGGAGGCATCTGAGGTGGGTGAGTCAGGCTACTATTTTACTGTTTTGTTTATGAGAAGAAACTACGTGGTGGGATCAAATTGGCTGCTGCTTTATGTTTCTGCTTGTTTCAAAAAAACAAAGCAAACCCCTGGAGCTAGGAGAAGGATGTGTCTGTGATGGGTGAAGAGCAGGGATGTTAAAAGGTGTTTAAAGGATGTTGCCAGAAATTTGCTGTGGAGTTTGTGGGTAAGTGAGTATGTCAGAAGTACCACAAGTAACGTGTGCTCCCCTGAGCTAAAACAAGCTAGATAGGTATTGAGTGGGTGGTTTCATGGGGTTGTGCTCTGTATTATTCTGCATACCTGCAAGATTGTAACAGCATTGAATTGAGCCAAGGTACGTAAGCATTGGCAGCATTGATTCACTAGGATATTTTTTTTCTTTTGATAGTCTTCAAGTATTGGTCAAAAGGTTGCATTTCTCCATGTCTATGAAGTTGCTTTTTTTTAATTAACATTAGTTTCTGAGTTGTTGCTTGTGGGTTCCACCCCCCTGTCAAAAAACAAACAAACAAGAGCACACCCTGCCCCAAACCACCAAAACAACTGTATAAATGAGAGGAAATAGGTTTGATGATTGTCAGCTATTTCACTGAAAGGTTGGTAGTTGTTTTTCTTTTTAGTGGACCTGCAGAACAACATGTGCATGAAGAGCTTTGGGAGGATGGGAATGCCCAGACCATGTCCGGTGGAAAAGGTGGCCACTAGTGTGTGCGGCCTCAATGCTGAGGTCTCCTACCTGCCTGTGCTTGCTTTCTGTGGGGCTCAGATTTGGGGAGTCTTGTGAGCTACTTCTCGTTTAATTTTCACTAACAAACTCCATTGCTCTCTGTGTACATTGAGAGGCAGAGCACGTGCTTGTAGGTAAGGGACTGACTCTTTTGTGTTATAGTAATTTGCTTTTTTCAATGTGAAGGCAGTCTGGTAAATAACCACGAGTGAGTAGTTTGGTAAATGTCAAGGTATCCCACGTACTTCAGCAGAGATTTTTKGGGGGCTGTATTTGTGCCATGGTGCTGGATATTATTGGGATGGAAAGTGTTAATGGATTTATCTGTAAGAAGTCGTACAGCCCTGGAGACTTGCATTATCTGTGCTCACCAGTAGGTTTTATGCAACACCTCAGAGAATGGGTCTGGATTGTACGTGGGGGCGGCTGGTTTCTTACGTAACAGTTATAGTAGCTAAAAGCGTATTTACTGGCTCTCTGAGCCCGGCGCAGTCACAGGAGGGCAGGCTTCCTGCAGCCGTCATCTCAGGGAAGAGCCTGCCCTGGAAAAACAAAATGATGGCTAATTCAGGGACTCCTGCAACAGCTTTATGAAGTTGTCAATTGCTTAAAGTGTAAGAAGGCTTGGATTTGCCTGGGAGGGGTGGGAAGTAGGCTAAAATCATCCAGTTAAAGACTAGTGAAACTGTTTTGGTAGCTATATACAAAGAGGTGCCTAACCTCTGGTTGTGACCCTAACAAAAACACTGTGGATCCAAGAAGATACTCCTAYGATGTTTTTATTGTCATGGCCTTTCTCCCCTGTGCGTAGGAGCTGTCAGTAGTTCAAGAGAGCAGGTGGTAAATTATAAATGTGCTGAGGACAAGCTGGAATCCACTCTGGATTTAGCACTCGCTGCCTTCCAAGCTTACCCACCTGCATAAATCATGGCTAATAAGGAGTCAGAGCTTATCAGGTATGCGTACTTGCCTGGAGACTGGAAACTTTCCTTGGTAGGTGACTTTTTTTTTCTTTGCAGGTGGTAAATTGGACAAACTGAGGCTGTGCCTGTAGGGAAAGCAGCATGCCAGCTGCAAGAGTTGTTGCTGCACTTCTGGAAAGTCACAACCTGTGTACCTTGGTTTGAAAGTAAATGTTTACTTGTGTTTCACATGTGCGAGCAGCCAGGAAGTCTCTGAGGAGAAACATGCCAAAAGTGAGCTCAGTTTACAGCGCTGTTTTGATAACAGGAGGTAACTGAATAAACAAGCACTCCAGGAAAGGATGCCTTCCTTCAGAGATGTCCCTGTGGCAGTAACGTGTTAGAAACCTATTTTCTTAAATTGGATCCTGTCTGCTGTACTGCTTTGCGTGTAGGAACACTACTGTCAGTGGACTGAAAGCACAAGGAAAGATTTGGAGAGACTTACGGTGAAGCAGTTGCAAGGAAATTCTCGCCCAGTGGGGCTTTTTCTTGTTGTGGAAGTCTTCTGTCCCCTCTTTTGTTGAGGCTATGGAAATTGCCTCTGGAAGAACTGAAGGTTGTTGATAGCTGTCTACAGTATGATGCAGTAGTGTGAAATCAGAGGAGAGCTGTAGCAGCTGCTCTAACCAAAGGAGCTCTTGCTGCCCTATTGCTGGCGTATCTGAGCTA